AAGATTTAGGGATCCTAAAATCAGAGAGAGAGATCAACTGCCCCATCCAACCCAAAGTAAAGTGAAGATGTTTTCATCTGGATTTTCACCTGAGGTAGGACAGACAGTCCCTCCTACAGTTATGAAGCAATGAAGGTAGCAGGCAAGGGAATCACATAGGACAGCTATTGTGGAAGGCACTGAATAAAGAAAGCCCTTTAATGATCGCCATGTGCTTTTTCTGCATAAGCCATAAAGCACATGCTCCTTCAGCCTAGTGGGTCCTTCTTTCATGGAAGAAAAAGCCCAAATCAGCGGGTTTTTTTAGACCTGTGATTCCACCCAGCACATTTTCTAGCATGAACACAGGCTGGCAGTGGGTGCACCCACTCAGCTGGCTCTATGGTGGGGTTCCTGGTGTCCTTTCAGAGGTGTCAGGTGGCTTCTGAGGATTTTCCAAGGCCACGGCAGCGTATCAGAAGAGACAGGAGCAAGCCTGGGAGAGTCACAGAAGTACTCACCATTTGTTGACCTCCCGCAGGGTGCTGCATTACCTGTGATGAATGCCCCTGTGACCTCTTTAAATGACTTAGTGACTATGCAGCCCTCCCAAAACGAGGCAACTCCTCAAGAAAGAATTTCAGAGACTAGAGTAACCAGATGGAGAACCTATGTGTCTGCTAGGTGAGTTTCTGACTCTGAGAAAGAAATCAGGCTCTTTAAAAAGGAATGATGATTTGAAATCTAGCCCTTTCAAAGCAAGAGTGAAAAATATGACAGTCCTACCGTGACTCTACACAAGCTGGAGTCCTAAACACCCTTTCCCGCTGTGCCCTCCTTTGTTTGCCAGGTAAGAGGCTGAAAAAAACCCGTCCAATTTTCTCTAACAAAGAAGCTGCCTGCAGAGCACTGTTCACCAAAACAGCTGAGCAGACCTAATCGCTCACTGCTGGAGGCCACAGTCCTGCCCCTTTCCCCATCCTCCTCCCAGCCCAAGCACCAGTTTGACTCACCAAGAATCTCAGTGAAGGCAGTGAATAGTTTTCCCAGGGTTAGGGAGCCAACCTGACTCACTGAGGACTTGGATGATCCCCAGAGGTCCCTTCCTGCCAATATGACTCCACAAGCACTGCAGCAGGCACGCCAGGCAAACACAAGGAGCACAGGGCTGGAAACAGGGCAGGAAAGAGACTTGTTTCAACTGCTGGCAGCGAGCTCTGCTCTCAGAGGAGCTCAGCTGCTGTGTTGAACTGTCCTATGCATAGCTGCTGACTGACATGGGGAGCTACTTCTACCGGCCCTTGACCCACAGGGCTGATGGCAAAAGCTGCTGAAGCAGACAGTGGGGAGCACAACAGCCCTTACAGCAGCACAGCTTGCAAGAAGCGCATCCTGGCAGAAACGGCTGCTTAGTTGGTGGAGCTGCCTCCTTCCTAGGAGCATTTTGCCAATATAATGGTTTTGCTAGGCTGTTAACACAACTCCTTCAAAGACGACACAAAAAAAACCAAGCAGAGTGAAGTGGGCAGACAAGTGAACAGAAGAAAGAGAAAAATATTCTCTTTTTTACCTTTGTTAGACCTTTGGCATAGTTTGTAACAGGGCTGGGTCACTTTTCAGACAGAATTGCAGCATTTCAACCTATACGTTTCCTTTTAACACAAAGGTCATGCAAGACCAAGAAGTCCATCTTGCAACTTGGCACAGGCTACAGCCTCATGTGAACTTCACTTACCGTGCCATAATCTGAGGTGAAGAGGACATTTCCATCGGTACATGAGCCAATAGTGCATGGCTGCAGCTGGTCCTGCTCCCGCAGCCATACCCTGGCACCCTGCAAAAACCAGAAGACCTCCCGTTAGAACTGGAACCTGCAAAATCAGCACATGGGGTGTAAACACCCAAGGAAAGCTGGGGGAAGCTGCGGTACTCAGAGGCTACTTCCAAGCTACAGCTACTTAAAATTTTTAAGCAAGTCCTACTTACATTTTCAGAGAAACTGGTTTTGATTTTTTTAATGTAACATGAGAGAAGGAAAAAGCAGTTTTAATGAGCTTCATACAGAAACCAACGTAAGGGAACATCGATTTTTATAGAAAGAGTCATGGAAAGATACAAACACACAGGATAGTGTCTTCGACTGTCTAAATATTTTTCAAACTTAGACTAGCCAGTCATTAAAAGTCATGCTATAATAATAATAGAAAATGTAAATAAAGCATGTTTACAATACCATACACCCACACATCATTGTAGTGGAAATGCTTCCAGAAATCATCAGCAACAGCTAAGCAGACTTCACAGAGCTTTGTTTGCCTCTCTTGCAAGATTTTCCTTTGGTAAATGACAGGACTTGAGTGTTTCTCTGATGTATGTATACATACACTGATGTATATATGATGGCCCTGATGTATACATAGTTTCACACACACTACATCTTCTTAAATTGCTCAGCGTCTCTCAAGACAAGCCTGAGCACAAAGGCAGATTTCTGTTAACACATACGCAGGGATCTGCAGGGCAAGCAGACCTCATACCTCACCTACCAAAAAAGTGCAGGGGAAATCAGTTTGCTGCATCGGCCTCTTCTGCCCTGCCTGACTGTGGGACAGGGCAAGAGCAGGAACACAAAGACAAAACAGGGAGAGCGTGACCTGCAGTTACGCAGAACTAGGCATAACATCACAGCACATTTCAGTTATTGCAAACTAATCTGTACCATGTCTTCCCATAGAAATCACATAAACTCTGCTTAGATAAGTATTGAGAAAAAACCAAAGTGCTGAATGGTTGAGTAATGCTAAGGCCATCCTGCTTTTCATCGATTCACAGACCTACTTTCTTCCTAATTTGTTTTCTGCCCCTGAGTTATTGATTACAAAAGCCCTTCCTATCTTCTTAAACCCATCAGCACCATTAGCTCTTCGCTTATAGGCTTATTATGTTTGAAGAGATACAATAGTATTTCTATATTACATTATACATTATATAGAATCTATATACATTATATAGAATGTGGAACACTAATTCTATTTTTAATGATTTATTTTAGTTTAGGTGGATTTTTTTAAACTACTTTAGTCACTTTAAACAGTTTATTATCCTGGATTTTCCTTATTGTAGAAGATACATCTATTGGCCAACATCCAGTCCTCCCAATAAAGGAACTGGTTTTAATGACATTAAAAAAGGCCTACATAATTCTAGCTTTGCTGCTGTGATCTGCTTTAGAGTTTCCACAGCAGGCAGATTAATTTCTCCTCACCAAGTGAACAAAAAGCACCAGTGCATCTGATCAGTACCTAAACACAAGGATGGTTTGCAAAGATCACCCGCATGGCCAGTGAGCAACAGCAACAGAAAGAAAAGTTTTCCTGTGCTACAGATTCAAGTTTCAAGATCCCAGAGAGCTGGTAAGCAATGCAGTGAATACACATTTTGAGGAACTATATAGAGGTCTTCCTTACATCCTCTTACGTTTTCTGAAACTCTTGATGCTTGAGACAAAGTGTCCTGAGGCATCTGGGCAAGACATTGCTGTTGAGAAATCATTCCTTTCCCAAATTACATTCTGACTATTCCGCATAAACATATGAACAGCAACATGAGTTAGTAGAAGATCTTTATGCTATTTTCACCAAAGGCTCTTACTACCACCACGGTACCAAGAGCAAAGAGCCAGAAAACAGCAAAGTTGTGCCTGGAGTTCCCAACAGTGGGATGAAAGAAAACCTTTTCTAATACGCTTATCGTAAAGACTCATTCCCAACAGTGCACTTCAATGCCTTCAGACACCAGTAACCCAAGAGCACATAGATGAGAGCCTGAAGGCAAGCGCAGTTTAATTAGGAGCCAGGCCTCCACCCTCCCACACACACTGCACCCCGATGCCTTCGCACACACACAAGCAGACACACACACCAGCATTAGGAGTGTGCCATGCTCACAGAACCCTACATGGTCTGTCCCCACAGACCAGAGGGGTCCGGGTTACACACGCTTTCCACTCCCTGAGCTCGGAAATTAGTTTGGAGATAGAGGCAGTTGATAACACACAAGAGACACTCCACAGGCATGAACGCTGTTGTTTATTAGGTACCATTCAGAGGGAAAAAGAGGGGAGATGGACAATGAGATCCCTCTGGTATCTTCAACACCTAGAAATCATCAGTAAGTCCAGATTGACCCAGACCCCTTCCCCAGCAGAAGTTCATGTGAAAAAACAGTAACAAATACTCCCAAAAGGAGACCTAGCTCTTTTGTACAGTATCACACCGTCTCCTACAGGCTTGTGGCAAATCCTTCTGTGTGCTGCTAAGGAGTAGAAGGCAACACGATGAAAATTCCAGGCACTGTGGTATTTCAGCTGCCCAGAACTACTCACTTGTTTACTTTGATGTTGTAGCTGTTTTTACAATAGCAATTGCCTCTGCCCAGTAGAATAACTGCACCCACTTACGCTGTTTCCAAAAGGAACATCATGCTGAGACAGCCAGAATAGAAGCCGCAGAGCAAATAATTATTGTAACTTCTGCCCAGCATAGCCCCCATTTCCTGAAAGGCTGAGTTTGTTTTAGAGCATCTCCTTCTATCAGCCCTTTTTTCTAAACATGAAATTCCCCAAGGAGCCTTGACTAAACACAGAAACAGATGGTGACACCAGAGAGACTGCCCTCACAGCACTCCCCTCTCCCCCAACACCATACATTTCATTGATCAGTTGAAAGGATTAAATTGAGCAGAAAACTTCCAAGAACTGCCAGGCAGCAAGGCTGAACTTCCATGGGAGAAGCAAGGGCAGCAAAGCAGAGCACGGCCCAGAACTGCAGAGTTGTGACCTGCCAGCTCTGGGGTGTCCCAGCTCCACTCCTGCAGGCACCACAGACAATGGAAAAAACCCTGCTCTCCTAGCACAACAGCAAAAAAAAAACCCTCAAACTGGGATATAGAAGCGCTCACCTGTATCCAGAGACAAAACAGTTGAACAAAATGAAGCAATCACTGATTCAAAAAGAACACCTTAGAAGACAGCTAAGGAACAGCAGAGCGATGATTTTGTGTAAGTGCTTTTGGTTGAATAAAGCTGGCTGACTACTGATGATACAGTTAACTTGAGTCCCTTATATAATTACAATACCTCATCCACTCTCAGTTCTTCTCTTAACTAGGAGTTTATTAGAGGTGTTGTTTTAAGTGGAGCGACAACAGCAGGTACTGAAAGAAAGAAGAAAGTAGTAACGTATCGAAGTTCCTGTATCAAGGGCAGGTCACTGTAATGTTAAACAAACTCCCAGAGACCAGCATCCTCATTCCTATGGCCTCAGTGACAATCTGTCCATGAACTGGCCTTGCCACAAAGCGCATAGCAAAGCACAATCCTGAAAACTGATCCCATAACATAGGGTTATAATTTAGAAAAAAAAAAGTTGCTTGCATACCAACAGTACTGTTTCATCAGTACTGCCTTGCTCTCCCTCCATGCTGTCTTCCACTGTAGAAGGTAAACTCTAAGATACCATTTTTCTGTGTTCACATAACACCTGCCACTTTAGGATCCTAGACTTGGAAATAAATAACACTTCCTGATATCCATGATATCAAGAAATCAACTGAAGCCACAGATTTCTTTGGCCTTCTGTGCCTTTTTAGAGTGACTGATACCAGAAGTTCTCTCTTGCATTCACACTCCTGGATCCACATCTCAGCAGATGCAGCATTCTGTGCCGGCAGGGAAAGGATAAGGGTAGCCCAGGGAACAGGCGAAGAGGCAGACAAGCAGCACACAACCCTTACTGCAGAAGCAAAGCACCCATGCATTAAAACCTAAGTGTCTAGCCACCAGTGGATGCACCCTCCTCATCAGCTATCCAGCTACTGAAGGCAAAGTAAGCTCCAGAGGGCAAGACGCAGAACTCGGTAGCTGCAGGTGCCTTTGCCTCTCCAGAGCCTCCCAGCCCAGCAGGAGACACATTCAGGGACTGACCTGAGCAAGCCACTGCCCTGCAACTGTACCACACTTCAGAAACAAGTCATCATACCCTGTTCTCCTCTTATTTGTGTAGTCTGGACTACCCTTGAATCTCCATGTGTCCCCAGGACCTCCTCTTTTCTAGAAATGGATTCTTCCCAGGTGCAAGCAAGAATGAGCTGCCCCAGCTGTACAGAAAATGAGGAGACAGTTAGCAGTGCTGCCTCTCAAACACTTACGTGCCCCATTCCTCCTTGTGCACAAACCTGCACTCCCAGCAGTAACGTGCTGAGCAAGGGCTACAACCAGCATGAGTGCATCCATTTTCCAGGAGTTATTCAGAGACCAAGAATGCTTTCAGTTGGAGGACACCTTCCAGTGTATGAAACACGCACACAATTCTCCACTATTTCCATTACAGGATGTTTTTGTAATGTTTTCTTTGTGAATGAACATGGCTTTGTTAGCTTGCAGCTCTACCTGCAAACACAATGCTACGAGAAGCTCTTGCCAGTGCCTTGGTTTGGGTAGTGATCTCAGATCACTGCTGCAGCCATTCTGCAAGGGGCAAGGATGTCTCAAAGATGTACACCCCTGCACCGTGAGTCCAAGCCAAAAATCTCCATGGGTCCTGTAAGTTTTTCAGCTATAAGTGTTGTCTATATACATACCTTTGTCCTCCTGGGACACTGAGGCTGTTCAGTGGGCATCAGGCATCCAAGCCTTGTGTTTTTCCTAGCGATGGATCCATATGCTCCTAGGCTTGGAAGCAGCATTGCACTAAACCAGCTCTCTGCCCAGCCTCAATGGGCTTTGTGGTTGTAAACCACGCAGCAGAGATCGGGCTAGAGAGGCCCTTACAATCCAGACAAAGCCAGGATCAGGTTTCAATAAATGCACTTTTCAACAGATTGATCTAGATCATCATGAATAAGTGATAGGACAGATATAAAGGACTTAGCTAATGGATAACAAGATTGGTGGGGAGGGGGAGTCCCTGACACCCTAGACCCATATGGGAAGGAATGCAACCTTGCCATTTTTCTGATGTCAGGCTGAAATGAAGTCACACAGTCAGTCCCTGGGTTATATCTGATCAGCAAAACCTGGACCAGCTGCTGGAAGGGAGGGGGCAGCCCAGGAGGCCACAGGTAAGAGACAGACAGAAGCAAGAACAGCTGAGCTGGCAGCAGCCAACATGGAGCAGCTGGGAAGAGGAACAATGCCTGCAACAGCAGCAGCAGGGATAACAGAAATAGAAGTCTACTTCTTGTAAGGCATGAGGGTGACACACTGCAGAACAAAAAGGGACTGGGTTTCACCCAGGAAGGAGCCACAGTTCCCACACAGTAGCCCACCCGGCCGAGGTAGTCTCTGCAAGCCAGGATGGCTCCCGGAGCTGAGCACAAAACTGCAGCCGTGGGTCCTGCTGCTCCAGAGCAGCAGCCCAGGCTGAGCCCGTGACTCAGACTGGTTCTGCCAATTAGCAGCCCCATTCCTTACTAATTAAGGAGCAAAGCCCTCAGTCTGCCAGCAGCTCTGCAGAATAGCAGTATCAGGAAAAGGTTTGTGCACTTTAAATCATCTAAGAGCAGTTTGTCACTTCTGGTCACTGATGCATGTGCACTGCTTCCCACCCCTCTTTTGCCTCCCCCTCCCATCTGTTCTGTTCCTTTCTCCTCCCCCGGTTTGGCTGCTGCACAGCTTCTCCCCACTCTCCTGCACATCTCCCAACTTCAGATATGCCCCAGGAAATGCCTGGTCCTTGAAAGCAATTCTTAATCTTCTCAAAGGAGCAACTACCCACTACAGCAACCACACCAGCTCTTCACCGTGAGAGTGGAGGGAGTGAACCCCCAACTGGTTTCCCATGCTTCAGGGTTGCCCTTTGCCATGAGCACAAGGTGCACAGAGGAGAGGCAGGTGTGCATCCTTCCAGACTTCACTGCAAGCTCTCTCCAGGCTCAGTTTAAGATGAGCTGTCCCCTGCAATTCCACCATGGGCAGTGGAGTCACTGCTGTCCTCGGTTGAAGCAACAATCCTACAGTTTGCAACCACCTGGGAACTTCTCAGCAGCCTCAAAAATGCACACTAAAGTTCAGTTCACAAAAGCCAGCACTACTTCCATGTCTTCTCTATGAGCTCTTTCCCACCTAAAACTTTAACTAAAACAAGTCATTCCCCTCACATGGGTATCTACAGGTGTCTATTCCCTGTCTCTGAACATCCCTGACACATACAGCACTGCTGGCTTTCCCACACCTTCTCTGTAGCCCTGAAAGGAAGGTGGCAACCTGGCATGTGCAAAAGCCAAGCCTGGCCCCAAAAAAACTTTCTCTGACCAGCTAGTGGCTCCAACCTGAGCAAGTGAAGAGCTATCCTATCCTATCCTATCCTGTCCTGTCCTGTCCTGTCCTGTCCTGTCCTGTCCTGTCCTAGCCCTGCCCTCAACTTGGACATTGCTTTGGGTCTCTCTCCCTCCCCCCGACAAATATATAGTGAGGCAGCTTCCTTGCAGCTCCCTCCCTCTCTCAAATTTGGCCAATGTCTTCGAGGCTGAAGCTGGGCTGATGGATGCCTGAGTGGCATTCAAGGTCCACAGAGGAGAATTCAGGGCCTCAGGAAGCCAGGAGGATACAGCAGTCTATCACAGAGACACCAGCTCCAGCATCCTGCCTCCGAGCAGCCACTATGCAATGCGTTTTGTAAAAATCTCAGTAAACAGTACTTCTGCTGCAATGCTTATTATGCATAATTTGGGATTATGTCCAATACCTTTTTGCATCTTGCCACATCCTTGACTTCAATAATTCCCTGCCATGTGGAATTCTACCATCTACTGACACATTATATGAAAACGTACACTTTTTAATCAATTGGTCTTATCACTGTGAAGCAGAAAATCCCTTTTTCTCACAGTCAGAGATGGAAGAACAGACGAATCCAACCCACCTTCTCTGTCTCATCCATTATTTTCTGCTCTTTTGCCATGTCTCCCCCCATTTGTCATTTTGCTAATAAAATATCTCAGGGTTTTTAAACTCTTCACGTGAGACATTTCCCTGGTGTTTGATTGCCCTCAGTGTCCTTCCCTCAAACACCACACAGAAAGCAAGTGGAGCGCCCTCTGAGCTGCACTGTCAGCACTCTTTTATCCAAAATAAGAGTGAAAGTGGGGAAAAAGGGGGAAACAGCCCATGCACGTACGAAGCTGGGGAACAGTAAAGACAGTAGAGTCCATGTTTCACTATTTTCTCTTCTAAAATTATTGGAGATGAAGACGTGCTGGTAGCACCATCCAACTACTAGATGGAATGGCAGCATTGTGAGTAACAATGGAGACATGCAAAAGTTTTTAATAAACATCCCTGGAAATCACCCCTCTTGCATCACACTGAGATGCTGAAGTGCTTTGACATATATTAGTAAATGGAAAGGATGTAAAACATTTTCAAAATCAACAGGTCCACAAGTTTCCAGAGATCTGTCCAATAAAGTTTCTCACTGGCTGATATTAATTTTTGTTAAGCCCGGAAATGCTGAGGAAATTCCAAGAGACTGGAAGGGTCAGAGCCTAAACAAGGAAGGCAGAAGAATTACCCCAAGTAACCATGGGTTGCTTAGTCTGACAACCGCAGGGAAAATACAGAGGTTTTGCCTTCAGATTTTCCAACTTAAAGATGTTCTAGCTTTAATCATTGTTCAGTGCCAGCCAACACATGGAAAGAAGTCTAGTCAAAAAGACTTCTTCATTCTTTGCATCCAAGCATAAGAGATAAATAGGACAGTAATAGATTCTCATGGCATTGACCATAGAGAACATAGCATTCTGATAAAAGTCAGCCCTTGAGGAGCAAGCAGCAGCAAAGGGATCTCAAAACAGTTGTTATGAATGGGGAAAATCATGACTAATTGAGGGAGTTTCTCATAAAACTCTGCAGAGGCAGGGTCAGTACTATTTCATATTCTCATCAAGGACCTAAAATCAAAAGTAGTGCTGAGAGTACTAGCAGATGCCAACATCTGGTAGATCAGTAAGTACCCACAAGGATGAGACCATCAGAGCAGTGTGGATTCCACAGCCCACTTGTTTGAACAAAATGGGATTAAAATACAGTCAAACTGAAAGGTCAGCTTCAGGGGAGAAGGAATGCAAGGAGCACTTCAAAAGGAAGAATGTCTTCTGGAAAGTCACAGACCCAAACATAATTGTGAACTGCCAAACAGAAACTCCCAGGACATTTGGTTTCAACATGAGCTGATGCATGTCTGGGACATATAAACAGGAGTAAGGAAGTTTACTGCTTACTTATGCTTTGAGGTGTGAGAAAGAAGCCTTCCAGAGAAAACTGAAAAATCTCATTTTTGCTATTCGGAAAGATCCCTTGTAATGCACAAGTTCTTGTGAAAATGTTAATGTCATTATGCAGATTTGCCAGAGCCAGGGCTGCCCTATCTAGCCCAGACACTGATAGCAGGGAGATCACAGCAGCATGTGGCCCAGCATGGGCTGCAAACCTCACGTCGAGCCCTGCATACTCAAATAAACCCTGCAGCGAGGATGCCACTGCCAGCAGTACTGAGACAGCAGTAGCTCTGCTACCTACCATCTCACCTTTGCCAGCAACCCAGAAGCAACCTGGTGCCGGAGAGTAATTTCTTGCAGACAGAGAAGTTATTTGGGACGAACCAACTCTCATGAAGCAGAAGAAAAGTAGGACCCAAAAATGGATGGAGCTGCCAGACACTTTAGAAATGAAGCAGGATTTATTTTAAAACAAGGTTGTGTAACCAGTTGAAGAAACTGCAAAAAGCGGGGGATCCTCCAGAAATAAGAAGCTTTTCCAGAAAGTGCAATTCAGCCAAATATTAATCATTGGCTCAAGACGCAGGTAGCAGGAATAAACAGGACTAATACAAAGCCCTGGTACTAACCCACATTTCCCCCTTCTCATCAAATACACTGCTCACTGTATCTACGAGAGGCCATGCCACTGGTTCAGTTATTACAGTAACTGTTGTGTTTATAATGACAGGACCCATGTCGCCCGGACGCTGTGCCAAGCAGAGCATGGCAGACAGGCCCTCCGTAGGTGTTCTTCCTGA